TATGAATTATTTATTCTTGGGTACAAAATTCCAGTGATCCACTTATTACAAAATACTTTGTTTGATTAAATAGATGTGATAGTTCTTTGCAGATGGCCTTTTGTATTACATGTTTCAAAAGTAACTTTTACTATAGACAATTTTACTCTTCTTCTATTATTACATCTTTATAATTTCCTCAAAATAGATTCTGATCAGTATGCAGAGTGTATAATATATTGTCTTAATATCATCTGACTACCCTCTGCTTAAAATTCTTTAGTTCTAATTTTCCATAGTTAAAAGGGACAACTATATTTAGGCCCAAAATTTATATCAGAGATAAATAAAGGTTTTACAAAGCCTCATGGCTAGAAATATTTTCATTATTTAAAAAAAAAAAGTTTAATGGAAAGAAATTTTGTATTTTCACAATACATTACATTGTAGAGGTTATAGCTAAAAAGGTGTGTGTGTGGGGGGTTGTTTTTGAATACTTCATTTTTCTTGAAGATCTGTTTATATGAAGAGTGTGTGCAGCTCTAGGGTGCTTACTCTGTCCAAAAACTTCAAGTCCTACACATTTATTATTACAAATACTAAGTTGAAATTGATTGATAGTTCTCTTATTACTGCCTGGGAAGTGCCATATTCTAGCTGTGAAGTCACACCTGCTCAAAAGTGGGCTAACTGCCAAAATTCAATACTAATCTAAAGGACAGAGCCCTTATCTTGTCAATTTTCCAAACTGAAATACTTCATGCCTTAAGAATGTTTTCCCTTTAATGGCACTTGGGCTGTGCTTTGAATTGATATTGGCCCTCTTGTGTTTAAGCAATGAACATCTATTCACTAAATCTTTCACTCCTCTTCACCTTAAATCAGTTCTCCTCTCTTCCACCCCCAAAATAATTTAAAAAAAGGAATTTGCTCACCAGAAAGAAGTTTCACAGCAGTACATCTCTTTAGAGTGCATTCCAAAAATTTGTATAGACTGTGCAGACTGGGAGAGTACAGTGGCTCCAATTATCTTAAAATGTAATGTTGTAGCAAGGTATTAATTCACATGATTAAAGCATTTTCACCAGTGAATACCAAAGGAATTAATAATGACAAGATCATTAGTGAAATGTCAAACCTCCTTAAAAACAGCAAGGCAGTTTCCAGACAAAAAGATAAGTAACCACAAAATCTTCCTCCCTTTTTTAAGACATGAAACATGGAGCTGGGAAATCTGGATTCTAGTCTCAAAGACTTCCTGTGTAACTTTGGGACAAACGCTCATAGTATTTACCTCCCTGCTTACCTCACAGGGATGAAGAATTAATTTATTAATATTTATAAACCCCTGAGATTATAGCATGGAAAATGGTATAAAGTGCACTGCATCATCCACTTTCTTTATACTTCTTACCTTGGATAGCTCTGAAACCATCCAGAAAAACCAGGGTTGTGTTTTTTTTGAGAAAGCTCTCTATTGAAACCTATACTTTTGTTACCAATATCACTTAACTCAAAGGTTGGAAATATAATACAACATTGTTGAAGCAGCCCTATGAGGATGGAAAATCTAGAACTGATAATTATTCCTTCTAACTTATATTTTACCAAATTAGTGTGTGATAAAGGGGGGGGGAAGGGATTACGTTGTTCTTTGAAATACCATATTTCAAGTTGAAAGGTTTGTAATCGTGTAATTTTGTGTGTGGAATTTTCATACACTGTAGGCTGTGGTATGGATACAACTGTTAGACTGATTAGGCTTCTAGCAGTGAAAACCTGGGCTGAGAGTCATTGGTGGCAGAAAGTTTGTTCAAAGGGGTACTGAAGAGGGGGTAAACAGACAGAGGACACGAACCTACATCCTTTTTTGACAAAGCATAAAATCAAACAACAAGGCATGTTTTAAGGATGCACCTAAAATTGGCATTTCTGAAACTCCTCTAGGCAAATATTTTACTGCCACATACTGTAAACATACCAGAGTGTATGTTTATATGCAGCTATAACATTAGCTCAAAATAAAACCAAATAGAAGTTGCACAGTTTGTGTGTCAGACAAATGTACAGGATCTATCTATCTGGGAACCAAAGATCTGAAATTAGAGGGTAGTGGGAATTCTGCCACTACATTTGTTTGGAAGCAAATTGTTAGAGTATGTGGTTCACAAAGGACTGGACAAAGTTTTTTTTATTTTTATTTTTTTTATTTTTTTAATACAAGCAATGGTTATTGAAATGAAAGAGTCTGGGAGAAATAACCAACAAACCAACTTTTAGAAAGACATTCTATGTGCTGGGACACATGAAGTCTAAGGTTGTATAAAGTAGATGAAACCAGGGTTTACCCAATGATACAGTTGTATTTGGTTCATATGGACATCTGAGTTTGAATTCTTTTCCATTGCCATTCCTCTCCCACAGAGCCAAATGTTTATCCTCTTGAAGTCTGTGTTAAAACTCCAACTGACTTCAATCAATGGGACCAGTAGTTGACCATTAGGCCTTTGTAAAACAACCATTGTTGTGGTCTCTTCTTTTAAATCAATGGAAGACATACACCTCTACCTCGATATAGCGCTACCCGATATAACATGAATTCTGCTATAACGTGGTAAAGCAGTGCTCCGGGGGGGGCGGGGCTGCGCACTCCGGTGGATCAAAGCAAGTTCCATATAACACAGTAAGATTTTTTGGCTCCCGAGGACAGCATTCTGTTGCAGTAGAGGTGTATATAAAATATGCATGTGACAATTCTGCTCTATGTATAAAGAAAAAGGAAAACACATGAGAAACAAAATCAAGGGCATTTCAGTTCATTATCTATACAACTGACACCAAATCTCAGGATATACTTAGTTACTGAAAATAATTTGCTTATGATCACAGAAAGATTTCCGCCTATTCCTGCATTTTTCCTAACAAATGGAACAAAATTCCAACAACACAGAGGATCCCACCCCCCCTAAAAAATAGCATTTTATTGATTTTAAGTTTTAGCACACATTTTCAAAGAATAAAAGAGCAAATAGGAGGAGAAAAATGTACTGCAGTCATATGGTTACACCGCCACCCAATAACTCAGGCCAAAAGTTCCAAGTCACCTAAATCCATATTTATGCAGTTTCATAAGTCAGTGGGAGCTGCACGTAGTCAGCACTTTCATAGGACAGGACACTTGGGTGCCCATATTTTAGGCACCCAACCTTAACAACTGAAGACAGAATTTTAAATAGTTTCTCTGCCTCGTGTTTTACAAGGCAAAGCAATGAGGTTCATAACAAACACAATATATAATGTATCATTCAACTAAAGAACACACATTTGACACAAGCAAATGTCAGTGTAGCCTGCAGCATTCTAGAATAGATCCTTCTGTCCCAGCTGCCATCTTCCTACTACTGCAGGTTGGGGACAAAAGCAGTTTGTTTGATTGTGAACTCAATCATCAAGCTATTTCTATTATCTATCAAAAGAGAAATACGGAACAAAGACAATTTGTGTTTTGTGCTTGGATTTTGTGTTTGGATTTTAAAATGGTGTGAATTTATTTAAAAATTAAGTTCAGTATTTCAGCTCCTGGCTAGTTACCATTGTGGCTCTAGGTGGTCCAAAGTTTGCTCATCCACGAGTTAAAGAGTAAGGACAAACTCTTACTCTCTGTTGTGCTGGTGCACAAAAGGGTGGGGTTTTGCGGAGGTGGGTGTGGGAAGAGGTTATGTTGGTTGAAAGGACAAGCCAGTTGATAGATCACAGCCTGAGTGTCTAGCCCCCTAAACTGTCAAACTGTCTAGCACACTTCATTATTTTACATACATCTAAGGTACCCTTCCCATGCATTTAGAAGTACATCAATTCCCTGAAGGAAGAGGAAGACTGTGCCCTTCTCTCTCCTCTATCAAATCAGTTTGGTATCCTCCACAGACACCACAGTTCTTTTTCCTACTCAGAGAAGTAACAAAGTGCTCCCTGCATTAGTGTCCTGACCCACAGAGGAATCCCATTGTGGCCAGCAGAATTCTTCTTATGGAGAATCCAAATCTTGTCACCCTCAGACCTCTTATTGCAGTGGTGCCCAAACTTTTCTGTCATGCCCCCACTTACCAGTAATGGAATCTGTCCGCGCCCCCCATTACTGCACTGTTGGTCAGCAGAGGAGCTTGGGCAGAAGGTGCAGCTGTTCTGAGGGGCGGAGAAGGAATGAAGGCAGAGCTGGGCTGGGGATGGAGTGGAGCTGTGGCTGGGACACACTCCATCCCCACCCACAGTGGGGGTTGGCCTGAGCCCCCCAACATGCCCCACCAAGCGTTCCTCTGTGCCCCCCAAGGGGGGCACGCCCCACAGTTTGGGAACCACTGCCTTAGTGTGTGGCGGGTGGGGTTGGAAAAGATCTACAGTCCAGATCCATAAAATCTCCCATATACTATAAAGTTACTCTACAACAGATCTAGTGATACGAAAGAAAAATGAATATACAGAAGTAGAATAACAGAAACCCATAATAAATAAGTGAAGAAACTTCCTGATACTGTCCAACCCCACCATTATTAATATCCTGGTATGTCATTATTCAGTAAAACTTTTTGAAAATAGCTTATTTAATGGAATTCTATCACTTTCAAACATTTTAATACAAGACAGGTACAAAGATACATTCAGTTTGAAATGAGGTGCTGAAAGTGCCGCGGTCCTGTTTAAAATAAGGATCTGTCAGTTAGGGTAGGGGTACACTATTATCTAGTAATTATATGCTCTAAAAGTCTGATCAAGAGCCCGCTAAACTTAATGGAAAAACTCCCTCTGACTTGAAAGGGCTTTGCTTCAGAGCATGTGGAAGTACAGCATATCTTATTCACAGTCTGTGAGGCCAAATAAGAATAAAGGAAAATAAGAGGGAAAAAAGAGGTATTTATACTTATATCAAAACTGCCGCCACTGTCAAACTACTTAATTCAAAGCTATTAAACAGCCTCTTTTTAGCAGCAGAGAAAGCCAAAAAGGTTCAGTGAAGAGTCCAACTAAAGTAATATTATAATCCCTATTTAAATCATACCAATATATCTTCAATTTTTGCTATCCAGTGAAGCAACAGAACCAGTGACAAGACACAGCCAGATTGTCTAGGATAAAATAAGAACTGACCCAAAATCTTTTTTGAAGCTTGGGGGGAAAAAAAATGAGGTTAACCTTCTCCATCCCTTCTCACCCACATCTACACTTAGTTCTGGTTAGGTCTGGAAGCAGAAGTGCTAATATTTCATTAGAAAGGCCACCCAGAATCACAAAGTACCAGAAATCTCATGAAGGTCTGTTTCTGTAAGATGCCCAATTCAGTTTACAGAGCTGCAAACAAGTTTTTGACCAGATAACTGCCTAGACCTTGGAGCCATTGGAGTTCTGCCATATCACTGTCTATATCCATGTGCAGAAGCTGTCTTTTATTCCACTATCATTTCACAACTAGGGTACTGAAATGCAAGCACTCAAACTACAGTGATGAGGTTAGTGTAAGAACCTATAAGAATTCATACAAGCATGACACAGAGAAAAATGCATAACTGTGGTCAAACATTAAGACACTGTCTTTGTTACAAATTTTAGAACTTTATGAAGAAGTGGTGCATGATGGAAACCTGACCACCAGAAAATAATTCTCTAAAGAAAATGTATGGCCCAGACAGTACAAGTTTCGAAACACTGCACCATCACTATGTCTTAACTCTTCGATGGGCCTACTCTAGGAATGAGATGGTGTGTCAGTCTCTAGGCCCATTCAGTCACTGGCCTCTCATAATAGCAGTCTTCATGGTGGTTTCTGTAATGCGGAGAAACTACACTTTGACCACCCAACTCATTTCAAACTGGCCATTGAACAATGATAATTGCTTTGTCACTACTGATCTCAATTGGATTAAAGTAACCTTGAAGTGAAATGTTCTACTTCCAGTTACTAGTCCCATGAGCTAGAGAGACTCCCTTCTAATAGAATTTCTGAAAATTGCTGCTTCTTTCTCATGAGATTCTCACCTTATCAAAAAAAACATTTTGTAAGCGAGACTTCAATCAAGATAACCAAAAGGTGCAAGTCATTCTCTGCTTCATAATTGATTCCATTATCTAACACAAAACTATTGTTCATTTTAAGCACACACACACATAAAAAAAAAGAGTAATAACAGTCGTATAATAGTTTAGAAGAAATGCCAGGTCATCTGGTTGAGGTCTCTTTGTCTGATGCTATTTAGAATACATGGTTTGTCTCTCACACATACTCAGAAGTCAGAATTGATGAGCAAATGTCAAAGACCATACAGCATGTCCATAAAAATGATAAATTTCACACAAAATCATGGCAGAAAAAACCCACACATGCATCTGATAAAACCATAATGACTTCTTTTAAAAATTGAAATAGAAAGAAATTAGTAAGAATCCAAAACAATTCAGCTAGCAGTATATACTTTAATTGAATGATCACCACTGTCTAAGACAATCAGAGAATTGTTTGCTGTATAAGTCAATGCCACAGGATAAGAAAGCCCTTGGGTAATTATGGGCCTTAAGACAGGAAATTCCTCAGGTTTTCCTAAGCACAATACAACTTGGTTATAGGCATCTGCTACTATTATGTTTCCCTCCCTGTCGAAGGCCAAATCAGTGGCATATATTTTGGAGGGAAACACTAGGTTTAGACCAAAGCTATCCATCTGGCCAATGAGTTTCATGTCAGCACTGAATATCTTCACTCTTGTGCTGCTGTAGTTTGGTCCCTTAGCTATCAAGTGCTCTATTACAGCGATAATTCCAGAAGTCTGAGAAACTGCCACCTCTCTTGGGTTGCATAAGTTAGACTGGATCTTCTGAACCTTCTTTAGTTCTCCTTTTTTAAAATTGGCTGTCAAGCGAGAAAGAGCACCTGCCTCTGGATCAGACAGGATAATTTCATTCTCTGGGGTGGTATCCAAACCCCATGGTAAACAAAAGGATTCCCTGATAATTAGCTTGCCTCTTCCATTAAAATCAAATACTTTCACAGAGCGATCTCCGCTGTCTGTCACAACCACATGGCCATCCAATGTGACTGTCACGTCAAGTGGGTATTTAATATCATTGCCTGCATCTCCTCTTTCCCCAAACTGTTGTATACAGCTTCCACTCAAGCCAAACAGCTTAATCCTTTTTTTGCCATCATGTGCCACTACTACACAGTCAGACCCCCGACACATTGCAATCCCAGTCGGATTGATCAGCGTCCCCCAGCCTCCGAAAGAAAGGTTGAACGTTAAGCCTAGAGATGCTGATACAGCTGCTTCATCACCTGTCCCAGTTGTTGTTCCTGAAGCTAAAGGAATATTAGTTGCGCGGCTTAAGATCTCTATCAGGTGCAGCAATGGTAAGCAGTCACTTGTCTCTGAGGATTTGCAAGCTCTTCGACAGAAAGGGCACTCCAACCTAAAATTCCTTGGGTGTGCTAGAGAGAATACACACTCCAAGCACATAACATGTCCACAAGGCAAGTTCCTTGGCCGGTGTTTCTTCTTCTGGCTATATTTTTCAAAACACACTTTGCATTCAAGTAGACTGACCTCAGTTTCGTTGACCAGTTCTGTCATAATCTGCATTCTATCAGGGGCCCTGGCAGACATAGTTGCAGCTTTAAGAGGATTGTTGATTATACTGTGCTAGCGATGTGACGCTGCCATCTGGTCACATTGGACAGTCACAGGACTGTGTTACATCAGAGGCCTTCCCATAAATGCTGATGGTATGTTCCGTTTCAAAGCATTTGCTGTAGTCTCCTGCCCTCTAAAGGAAACTTGGGAAAATGCAAGGGGCTGACCAAAATGTATTTTAATATTTTCTTATTGTTATCTTCACTTTTTCCTCAAATATTTTGTTTAATTTCATTTGGCATGAAAATATATGTAAACTGTAAACTATAAATCCAGTCTCATATCATTTCAACCATGGCAATTTAGCATAGCAAGAATGGTTTCATAGTCCACATCAGTTTTCAAGAATCAATACGTGATTAAAGTCCAATAAACCTCGCAAAAGCCAGAGGAAGGGAGAGGAAGTGGGCAATTGTGGGGTAGTTATTCAGGATGCAATGAATGAACAGGGTTGTGTTTATCATTTTCAGGAACCCAGGCAAGAGCAGGAATTCAATCTGTTAGAGAGGCGGTTCAGACCACTGGTTTCTTCCACCTCTTATCCTGCTACTAGAGAGGGGTTGGGAAGTTAGACTAGGTCCCAAAGGCTTCCTGTTCTGACCTCCTACTGTTTACATTTCTCCCATGCCCACATTGCCCGTCCAGGAGGGCCCTTCTCCACATGCTCAAAGAAAGTTAAAAGGTCCTTGGGGTTCTGCTGGAAGTGGACTAAAGCAATTAGAAAGTCTACCTACCTGTTCCTTTTAACACCATTTTACCGAACAATGCGATGACCAAGAGAACCATGTTTAATAAGATGACTGATTGCATTTCTCATTGCTATTACTTGGCTGACCTGCAACTAGAGGCCAAGTCAAGCTTCACTCAGGAGCAATGCAGCCACTGCTGCCTGCCTCAGGGGTGTTTCTATCACAGATGTATGTGAAGTGGCGACATCATGCCCTCTGTGTGCCTTTACAAGAGTACTATTGTTTGGATTCAGCCTCCTGGGAATGCTGTTTCAGGGCTAGTCTACACTGGCAACACTAAAGCGCTGCTGCGGCAGTGCTTTAATGTGGCTTGTGTGGTTGCAGCAGAGAGCAGAGAGCTCTCCCAGCACTCAAAAAAAACCAAAACAAAACAAAAAAAAACCCACCTCAACGAGGGGTGCGGCTCCCAGCGCTGGTGCACTGTCTACACAGGCGCTTTACAGCACTGAAACTTGCTGTGCACAGGGGGGTGTTTTTTCACACCCCTGAGCAAGAAAGTTGCAGCGCTGTAAATTGCCAGTGTAGACAAGCCTCACCATGTTCCAGAACTTGTTTCCAAGGTAGATGGGCTCAAACTTCCCCCATGCCCACAAAGTGTTGATTTTTCTTTAGGGATGTCTCTTACATGGCTTAGACAGCCAATTTTTTGCATTGATTTTGTCCCTGATTACTGTCTTTTTTGGCAAACTTGAATGTTAGGTCCAACCCTGGACTTTTAAGGAGTGATTTGCTCCTTTTTGTATTTATATTTTTTAAAACCTCCTTGTTCACACTGTAGGCCTTGGCCTTATTACTGCTGCTCACTTCAGCTTTACTTTCATTTTCATTTTCAAATATCCCTTGAGCATCTCATGGCCCAAGAGTGAGAATCGCACAGAGATAGTATCATTGGAGAAGAGAAAGAACTTCCTTCAACTTCTTCTCTGAAAATATCAAACTGCAGGACACTCACTTTGCTTGCCTCTCCTCAGTGCTTGGAGGTTGCTTTTTGAGAGTTGCTTTTCTCTTGATCCTTGTAGTTTATTATTCGCCAAAGCACACTGTTGATCCTCTGTAGTTGGCTTATCTTTCTGAGACGAGTGACTCTCTTGCAAGCAAAGGAACTGACTGGGATGCTGGGAGAGCAGTATTTAAATAGCCAGCCAGTAGGGGTCCTACTTTGCTCTCTACCCTGGGGTGGGCAAACTTTTTGGCCCGAGAACCATATCTGGGTGGGGAAATTGTATGCAGGGTTGGGGTGCGGGAGGGAGTGTGGGGGGGGGTGCGTTGTGCAGGAAGGGGCTCAGGGCAAGGGGTTGAGGCAGAGGAGGGGTGTGGGGCGTATGAGGGGACTCAGGGAAGGGGGTTGGGGTGCAGGAGGGGTGTGGAGTGCGGGAGAGGGCTCAGGGCAGCAGGTTGGCGTGCAGGAGAGGTGCGGCAGGGGGCTCAGGACAGGGAGTTGGGGTGCAGGGTGCAGGAGGGGTTTAGGCTCCGGCCCAGTGCCGCTTACCTGGAGCAGCTCTGGGGTGGCAGTGTCGCACACAGGGGCTAGGGCAGGCTTCCTACCTGCCTGCCTGCCCTGGCCCCGTGGCCCCTGGGGGAAGAGCAGGGAGCAGAGGGCTCCACGTGCTGCCCTTGCCTGTGGGTACCTCCCCCAAAGCTCCCATTGGCCATGGTTCCCCGTTCCCGGCCAATGGGAGCTGCGGGGGGAGGTACCCACAGGCGAGGGCAGTGCACGGAGCCCTCTGCTCCCCACCACCAGGTGCCACAGGAACGTGAATTGCCGTAGTTTCCCCACAGGCTGTAGTTTGCCCACCCCTGCTCTACCCTGTCACCATCAACTTCAAGGGTTAAAAAAAACAACAACAAAATCTTAAAGTTTCATTAAAACGATCACTCATTACTGGCTACAACTACAAATATCCTGAAAGCATCAGACCTGAGTCTGCAGCTCTTTGAATACGTTTGCAATGAACATCAAAAGCTTGCCATAAACAGAAATGGAGGAAAATTGCCACGTATTTCAAAAGCCCAGCTAATCTGTGGATATCTGCGGACCATGTTTGCAGAGCACTGATCAGATGTGGATACAAATACACTGAATGCACAGCTAAATCTTTTAAACTGGATAATCTCAAAATTTTCAAACAACTGTTTTAGCTATACCTGCCTCCAAAAAAAAATAAAAAAAATTATGAGCAAGAGAGACATACATACTTGATACAAGACATTGCTTCTACTTCCAACTCTAATGTTTATAACCCCTGGGTGAAGGGGCACATCCCCATCCCAATCAGGAGAAGGCTAATGAGTTCCTCTGGGCTCAATCCCTACCAAACAGACGTGCCTGCAGAGCCTACTCCAGCCGGAGGAAGCAAGGTTAAAAAGGAGAGCTGATAACGGGAAGGGGCAGCAACCAGGAGGAAAACTGCTGTGCCTCAGAAGGAGTTGATTCACATTATGGAGTAGGTGAGAGGAAAACATCTGACAAGACTTCACCGCCCAAAGACTTTCCAAAACCCCAAAACACCCTTGAAAGGGGAAAAGGGCTTTGAAGCTGCCTGAGTGTGACCCCTGAGGAAGGCCTTACCCATCACACCCTTTAAATGTCATGTTGTAATACTGTAAATCAGCTTCGGTTTCAGAGACCCTTCTCCGCATAAGGTAATGGGGGATGGAGAAAGAACATTAGACTGTGTCAGCATCCTGGTGAATTTTAGGTTATTTTAAAAATTAATCTATTATTAGGGACTCAAAACTAAAACTCCCCTTTGCAAAGTTGTACTAGCGTCTATAAACTAGCGATGGGAGACCCTCAAAGATGTGAGTTCAGATAAATATCCTAAAGCTCAAATGCTTATCCAAACCACAGAAGGGTCTCCATTAGGGCCCACAATCCACATTCTCCATACAACGCTTCTTCCTGTGGCTGGACTCATAATTGTTGTACCGAGGGGGAAGAATATCACAGTTATAGAAAATTTCAGGTGGCATCTACTGCCGGTGTCTTCTGCTCTCCTCTCAATTGATTCACTTTCCTTACCCCTCTTGCACATCTCTAGTTGCCTGTGTCCCCCCTCATCCAGTCCTGGCTGCGGCTGAATATACTGCTTTGCTCTCTGCCAGCCACTCTACTCTGCATAACACAGAGCAACAGAGGTAGGGAGAAAAAGACAGCAGCCACCAAGCAGCCTCCTGCCTCTTCTATCCAGCAGCCACTAGTGGCAGGAGCTCAGAATTACAAAAAACAAACAAAAAAACTTTTCAAGCTGCAGCTGTCAGCACGGCATAGTTCCTAGGTCACAGGTTGGAACTATGAACAGCTGGGATGGGACTGCAAAGCTCCAGACAGACAGACAACATTGGTAGCTATGGAGAATGGTCATTTCTTTATATATATATATGACTTTTTAATTTTAATTATTTGAAATAATACAGGAGACAAAGGTACACAGTTAAAATGATTGTTTATAAAGAGTTTCAATGTGGTTAAGTGCTACGCATCTTAAAATACAGATACTGTAAGTCAAATCAGATGTACAGTGTAATTGACTTAGAAACCATTAAGTCTTCAAAAGACAAAGATATTCCATAACTCAGTTTTCATACCCTGAGGTGTTTCAGAATTCCCAAATATCCAGCTCATTTCCAAGTGAGATCAATATAATTCTTCTCGCCTTGCTAATAAATTTTGTCTCTCTTGTTTCATCAAGGAACAGACTTTAAGGTAAGCAGATATGTTACCTCCAGAAAATAATCTAGTCCCCAGGCTTTGTGCCGGTCCGAGAAGTCATCGACCTTCTCAAGACACTTAATTTCACAGACTTTTCCTGAAAAGGAAGAATAGCAAGGTACAGATATGATGAAAGATTATGACAAATTGTTTTGCTTTTTTTAATCATGAATTTTTACACTATTAGGAAAAAATCTCGCTGACTTAACTCATTTGTAGACTAGCATAAATAAGGTGAGCAGGATTTAGCCCTCTCTCACAATTGTATGCCACTGTTAATTAAGAATAATTCATGGTGTAGACACTTCAGAGGTTTCAGGAGGGTGTAAACTACAGGAACTGTAGTACCAAAGCTTAATGTAAGGCATATCAAGGATGAAATGTCAACCTTAACTCAATTTTCTTGTTTCAGTAGCTTTAAGTTGGATCTTTAATTCCCTTAACGCAGCGTTTTCCTATCATCATACTTTTTTTCCTGCAAGTTAACTTTGGTTTCAAACTTATAGCAGAAAGCACACCGG